ACTAAGGCCTCCTAGCCATGACTGGTCGATCGGCCACACAAGAAAGTTCTGCTTTGGGGCCCATGTGTTGGGCCGCCCTGCACAGATGTCATGGCGCGCTACTGCAGGCCGCATACACCGCCCACATGACATCTCTCCCGCCTCAAGTCCAAACTCGTCCTCGAGTGAAACGAAAAAACCGAAAAGCGAAATCGTCCGAGGTCTTCCCGTGAGGCTGCAGCGGGGTCGTGACCCTCCCATTCGACGAGGACTTGGCGAACTCCACGAGCCAGCGCGGCCTGTGTCACCCGCGAAGGCGCAGTACGACGGCACCGTTGGAGAGGGCGGCAACGCCATGGAGCAAGTGGTGGTGACCCCACAAACTTCTTGAGGACGCCCACATGGAACACATCGTGGAGACGGGCATCCGGGGGTAGCTCGAGCGCGCAGCCGCCTCATTGATGACCTCGGTGACCTTATCACGGACCAACGAAGCGCGGCTTCACTTTTTGCACGCACCAGGACATGGGCATGGACGCAGCAGCTCGGCTGCCGGAGACGCAGCAGCCAATGATCCCCGGCGTGAAGATGACGCGACGATGATGCTGATCGTGACGCGCGTTTACCGACCGCTGAGCACTGCTCGAGCGGACACGAATGTCGCCCGTGAAGGCGGCCCTCTCCTCCATCTCCTGAGCGACGGCCGCGACCCGAGCTTCGCCCTGCTCGTAGGACCGAATGGTCGGCGGGTCCCTGCCGTAAACCACACGGAACGGGGTCTCACGCAGGGACGACTGAAAGGCGGTGTTGTAGGTGTACTCCGCCCACGGCAGCCACCGGATCCACTGACGGGGGCGGTCGCCGGTGAAACATCGCAGGTACATGACGATGACCCGATTGGCGGCCTCCGTCGCCGCCCGTCTGTCCGTGGTGGAAGGCGAGGACATGTAGAGCTTTGTCCCGGTGAGCCGCATGAGCTCCTGCCAGAACGCCGATGTGAAGACTGGGTCGCGGTCCGACGTGATGGACTGCGGAACCCCGTGGAGGCGGACGATGTCGGCGAAGAAGGCGTTGGCGACGGACTCGGCAGTGTAGGGATGTGCCAAAGGAATAAAATGGCAGTACTTGCTGAAGCGATCCACCACGGAGAGGATGACCGTCTTGCCCTGGACCTTGGGGAGCGCCTCGATGAAGTCGATGCCAAGGTCGGCCCAGACCGCCGATGGCACTGGGAGCGGCTGCAGTAGGCCGGCCTTGACGAACTCCTGCACCAAAGCACGCATGTTGGGAAAATGAAAGTCGCGTCGGAGCCGATGGAGGGTGCGGTGGATCCCCTCGTGACCGTCATTGTGGACGGCGGCCACAATCTCCTGCAGCAGCGGCGACGCCGGCGGGATGTACAGGCGGCCGGCGTGTGCGACCATGCCATCCACTAGCGCCCACGCAGCGCGAAACGAACCCGACCGCATTTCGTCGTGCATGGCGACCAAAAGCCGGATCCGTGGCTCAGGCGTGACGGAGGCGGTTGACGAAATCAAAAGCGAGGCGCGGAGATGGCCAACAACGACCCGTCCTCCCGATCTCGCCCATGAGAGCGCGTCGGCGACGACGTTAAATGGCGCCGGACCGTACTCCACCGAAAAAAATCAAACCCGAGGAGCTTGCCGACCCAATGATGTTTGTGGGATCGTGGCGAGGCGCCGGTCGAGGAGGTACTTGAGGTCAGTAGTGATCGGTCTTGACTATGAAGCGGCGCCCCCAAAAGTACGGTCGCCAGATCTTGCGGACTACTGGACCAGCCCGATCGATTCGGCGCTTCGACGCGGCGGCGAGGAGTGGCGGGCGCCACCGGCCGCATCAAGAACGCGACGGGTGACCCTCTGGACCAAAGACGGCGCCGAACCCAGACGTCGAGCGTCGCCTTTCGACTCGACGATGAAGAGCTTGTCGAAGTCGGGCATGGCGAAGTACGGGCGCCGTCGTCCACAATGACCTTGAGAGCCGCGAACGCCGCAGCAGCGATGGGGCGTCCCACGAAATCCCTCCTTCTTGAGCGAGCCCGTCGGCCGGTGTGCCGCAATCGTCCCCATAATTGTGGACGAACTTGCGGTAGTATCCGGCGAGGCCGAGGAAGCCGCGCGCACGCCCGGGGAGCGAGGCGCGGTCGGCGATCGCTGGACCTTCGCCGGGTCCATGGCCACCCCCCACCGCCGAGATGATGTGGCCTAGGTAGGCAACGTTGGGCGCCCGAAGAGCACTTGGACCGCTTGACGAACAAGCGGTGGCGGCGGAGTGTATCGAGGACGGTCCGGAGGTGTCGCAGATGGTCCGCCCACGTCGTCAGATCAAAATATCGCCAAAAATACCGAACGGCGCGGGCGGAGGAACGGCCGGAGCACATCATTCATCAGGGCTTGAAAGGTCGCCGGGGCGTTGCACAGGCCGAACGCCATGACCAGGAACTCGTACAAGCCGTCATGGGTGCGGAACGCTGTCTTGTGGATGTCCTCAGGGCGCATGCGGACTTGGTGATAGCCCGAGCGCAGGTCCAGCTTGGTGAAGAACTGAGCCCCGTGGAGCTCGTCGAGGAGCTCGTCGACCACAGGGATGGGAAAAGCATCCTTGATCCGTCGCGCGTCAATGCCTCAGTAGTCGACGCAAACGCCACGACCCGTCCGGTTTCTTGACGAGGAGGACGGGCGACGAGAACGGGGAGTCGCTCCGGCGGACGATGCCCTGCTCCATCATGGTGGCGCACTGGCGTTCCAGTTCATCCTTGTGGGCCGCCGGGTACCGGTAAGGTCGGACGGCCACCGGCTGCGCGTCCGGCTTGAGCATGATGCGATGGTCGTGCGCGCGCACAGGGGGCAGACCGGTCGGGTCGGCGAAGACCCCCCCGTATGCGAGCAGCAGCGCCTCGAGGAGGGAGTCGGTGTCGAGTGTCGTCGCGATCGTCGGAGACAACGGTGGTAATGGCGACGCCGGTCGAGAGAAAGAGTGCGGCAGCAGCGCATGAAACGTCGGCGCGCCGCGGCCGAGGTCCCGAACGACGCCCGCGAAGCGCCGAAGCCAGTGTGTCTGCGAGGACGATGTCGTACCCTGCCAACGGCATGACGAAGAGGTCGGCCGGGAACGACTCGCCGTCGACGAGCAGGGGCGCGGCGCGGAGGACGCCCGCGCACGCGATGCGCTCCCCGTTGGCGACCAGCGCCCGTAAGCGAAACGCCGTGGAGAAAGCGGCGCGCGGGGCGCCTCGCTGCGTCTTCCGCGATGTAGTTGTGCGTGCTGCCCGAATCGAGGAGAGCCACGAGCCTCAGGGGCCCCAGGCCGACCGCGATCTGCATGGTGCCCGCCATCGGCACCCCGGCCAGCGCCTGCAGGGAGAAACAGGGCGCCTCGGCGTTGTCCACGACGGCGGCGTCCTCGCTCTCGGCCTCCAGTTCGACCCCTTCGACGAAGAAGATGCGCCTGCAGAAGCGGTTATGGCCCCGGGTGTACCTCTCATTGCAGTTGAAGCACAAACCGAGGCGACGGCGTTCGGCCATCTCCTCCTGCGTAAGACGGCGCTGGGAGCCCTCGGGTCGGCCCGGTGAGCGCACCGCAGCAGTGCGAGAAAGGGCCATGAGAGGCGGCGGCCCGGCGGGGCGGCTCGGCGCGCGGCAGTGGAGGCGGTGGTGGCCAGCAGCCGCTCGCTCTGAGGAGGAAGCGCCGGGCGGTCCAGCTCCATCAACTCGACTGGCGCGCGCGAGGCGATAGCGGCGACGAGGGTGTCCGGATGGTGGATCTGACGGCGTTCTTGAGCGGAGGTCCCAGAGCCGCGGTGAAGAGTTGGACTTCATTGCGCCTCGTCCGAGCCGGCCCGCGCGAGGGATCAGGGCCTGGAACCGGTTGGCATACTCTTCCACGGCGCCGGAGCGGCGGCACTGCGCCAACTCGAACATAGGGGCCGAGCGCAGGGGGGGACCGAAGCGCAGGTCCAGGAGATCCTTGAAATTCCCCCATGACGGCGTGCCTTCGTCCTCCTGCAGCTGGATGAACCACAGCTGTGCGGCGTCGTCCAAGTGGTAGGCCGCCATGCGCACACACTCCTCCGGCATGGTGAGATGTTGCCGGAAATGCGCCTCGCACTTGTGGAGGAACGGCATGGGGTCGGACGTGCCATCATAGTGGGGAAAATCCCACTTCACCGTGGCGGATGGAACTCGAGAGCGCTACTTGATTGTCGGCGCGACGGGTGTCGAGCTCTCGGTAGTGGCGCCTTCTCCTTGAGCGAGGCGACATCGGCCTCCAGGGTGGAGATCTTGGCGGACACCTTCTTCATCTCGTTGAAGAGATCGGTCAGTGTAGGCTCAGCCATGGCGGCGCGGCCCAGGGGTGCGTGGCCGGGTTGGGGATGGCCCATTGGTGGGATGGGGTTTGTGCAAGCGGCGGACGGTGAACGCGAAGAGGATGAGCGGTGACCACCGATACCAAGTGTCAAAGGCGCGAACCCTCGACGCTACAGGCCTCTCGACTCTGGCTCAGTAGCCCTCGGCCGTCTTCTCCGGTGAGGTTATGCCCCTCACCGAGCTTGAGATTAGATGGAAGATAGGATAATAATCTTGCTTAATTCCTTCAAGTCCGGTTCCCATACATATATAGCCTTGGCGGCGCCACAAAAGGAAAACAAACTCCTAATCTTAAGGTAACAAATAGATGCTAATAATAAGGAACTAATCCTCGATAACTTTCCAACTAAGGCCTCCTAGCCATGACCTGGTGATCGCCACAAGAAAGCGCTGCTTCTGCGCTGGGACGCTACTGGGCAGCTTCACAGATGTCGCGGCGCTCCACTTCAGATACATACCTGCCCACACATGACAGATTAGCCTCATTGGTTTCAACTCTAGCCTACCCCAACTTGTTTGGGACTTAAAGGCTTTGTTGTTGTTGTTGTTGTTGTTGAGGAAAAATGAACAGTTGATGCAATTGTATTACTGCAAACATAATGGACATTGAGAGTCTGAAGTTCCATCAAACTCTTACTTGTACTGCTTTGTGCCAATAAATGTAGCAAATAGGGTGTCACCAGCCTCTGCTAACAGATAACTGCATAATTTCACCACTAATTAGATTTACATATAAAAAAAGACAGCAGAACCATGTGCAGATTGTCATTATTTGGACTATTTAAAATAAGGAACATATAATCAGAACAAATATATAGATATTGTGTAAAGATCCAATGCCTACAGGATTGTCCAGGTGCGGAAGTAATTTTCTAGACTGCCTATTTGCTTTCCAGCAAAGATCGCACATTTAGGACATCCCATAGCATAATTTGCCCCATCCTCACAGTAATTACAGAAAGGACTATTTCTTTGTGTGTCTTTATCTAAGAGAGCTCAGATAAAGCAAGGAGACTGTACATGGTTACTTGATCTACTTGAGATTAGAGTTGCACAAAAAATAGCTCAATTGTATTTGATTGTAGTGCTTGATTACAAACTTTTGCAAAGAACGAAAACAGTAGTACAAATCACAACAAATATTGAACCTCTAAGTGGGCTTTAGCTTTTGGCTTACCGATGTGGTACATGATCCAAGGATGGTTGAACACGCTCTAGGGACACAATGTTTCCACCAAAATCAGACTTAAACTTGTTGATATATCTCATCATCTCAGAAACAGGTCTCTGCAAAAGCATACAACTATCAACAAAAACAAAAGCCTTTTACTTCAGTTGGGATAGGCTTAAATTGTTACTATCCTAGCAATTTTCTTCTTCTTCTTCAGATTGACAACGGATGCCACTTTGTAACCATACAGTGGCAAGAAATAAGTAACAAATCATATATGTTAGAACTCAGAACATTCAGGGAATTGCATCACGGAAGAGGGATGGTGATCAGATATATTGTAAACGAAGATGAATGAACGAAATAATGTAATGTGTCAGTACAATGGGAAGCTAGGACCAGTATAAGCATTTGGGCATTTCATGCAATCCATTCTCAATGTCCATCACGGAAGCGCAAGGCTAGTTGGGCAGCATGGTGGGTCCTGGCATATCGATCAGGTAGGCTAGTTGAAAATTAGACACTAGGAATTAACGGAAAGGGACGAAGACTTGAAATGTAAATATAAAAACAATAAATCTGGAAATTTATATGGTTTGTAACTGTTATATTAAGCTGAGCACAAGTTATCCAAGACCAACTAAATCAAGCAAGCACATTAAAAGATAGGTTGCTGTTCCTTCATGGTAAGAGCACAAAATGCCACATGCCACATTAACAGTATCAGGCATGCAATTACAACTATCCCAAGATGGTTTTGCTCAGAAAAAGTGTCCCAAGATGATGTGCCTACATTTGGTGGATGGAACACTGCATGATCATTATAATACAGAGACGTGTAGATTTCATTGTCCTTCCCCCACCAGAAGAGGCAGGCAACTCTATGTCCAGCAACTAATAAACACTCTAGTTTCCAAACTTTCGTACTGCATAACTATAACAGTCAATGCTCACTTTTACCGCATGCACCATCCGGACCAATCTCCAGCCACAAATGGCTGCACAGATCCATCTATCGATTCCGTCCATCGTGATCGGTAAGGTACAGGACGAGCCGGGCAACAAAATTGAGGGAATGGCCAACGCACGGACCATGTAGACGCACTCGGCGAGGACCATGGCGCAGAGCAACTCCTGGAGCTCGGCGACGGTGTCGACGCGGACAGCGCGGCAGAGCTCGCGGAGCAGTTGGCGCCTGCGGTCCCCGGGCCACGGCCAGGCGGGCCGCGGCGGGGGCCAGGGCCACCGCGGCGCCTGCGGCAGCCACGCCGCCGCCCAGGGCTGCAGCCGCGCCGCCTGGTCCCGCACCCACGACTCCACGCGGCTCGACAGGGCGGCCGCCATTGACGTAGGGTGAGGACGGGGTTGGCGATCTGGTGTCCCGCGGCGAGGGGACGAAGGGAGGGAGAGGGAAGAGGGGGGGAGCGTGTGGGATATGCCCGCGGTATATTTTGCGGCCCAACCGTTCGCTCGCTGCTTTCAGCCGGGCCTTATCACAGTATTTTCTCCTCGCAATAAATCAATATTAATCGGAACTTATCGACCCAGACACTACCCAGCTAACAGGCCGCGAGTAGATCCAGTTCCAATGGAATCGGAGGAGACGTATCGCTTTGGTTTAGTTCTCCTTCCGGCACACATATACGTACAAAAATTTTGCTCAAAAAAAAATATACGTACAAAATTGCCATGGAGGTTGTCAGCGAGATGGTCCCATGCGTAACCTCTGTCCATAATCTTAGCCACCATTTGCCATGGTTTCAAACAGCTTCCAACTCTTTTTTTTAATTATTATCTCCAGCTCACTATGAGCTCGTTCACTGGTCTGGAAGAGACCAGCCAGCTGGTCTCCCTCATATGTTACTGTTCATCAAACCAGCTAATAGTATTTTTCTTTCACAACAAACCAGCCGGAACAGTATTTTTCAGCCAAGTTTCAGACCATCGAACAGGGCCTATGCGGAGGAATCAAAGCCACTGAAATAAAAAAAATAGTTTATTTTAAGAGAAGAGATAAACAGTCTGTTCGCTGGTTGGTTTTCTGGACTGATAAGCCCGGTGGGTGCTGATTTGTTGTGAGAGAAAAACACTATTGGCTGGCTGATAAGCTCTAGCTGAAACCAACAAACGAACAGGCTGAAAGTTAGCTTCTTCTACAATATACTATCATACGAAGGAGCCAAGGGCTAGAGCTTTACCAAACGATCTTTTTCACAATACAACTTTCTTGTCAACAAGCTCAGTTAACTCCACCCCTCTGATTAGAACATGGCTCATCAAGTTATTTCCTAATAAAGTAATAAGCTTGTTCAAAATTATTACAAGGCAACGAGTAATAAATCCCCTACGAAGTTTGGCTATAGATGTCCATCGGCCGTGCCGGCCGGCCAATGACTGTGGGCGTCGTGCGTCTTGCGTCTTGTCGTCGTGCCTACAGACCTACCACCATGCCGGCCGTGTTGCCATTTTCACGCTCATGCTCATGCCGCGCCTCTGGCCCAAGGCACGGCCCACGGGCCGTTTTTCCGTGTCGTGCCGCCCGGTAAGCACGGCCAATTTCACCGGGCCGTGCTGGCCCATGGCCCGGCTACCAAAAAACCTCTCTTTTTTCATCAAATTTTCTAAGTGTTTCACTTTCACAATTCACAGATTCCATTTCACAGACAATAAGACATAAGAGAGATATTATCATAATATCAAAATGAGCTGTTTGTGCAATGCTGCCTCATTAAAAACCTTTGTAGGTAAAACTCACCCTTGTGAGAAACCCTAGAAAGGAAAAAAGAGTACAGCCAGCTCTAAATTGTCAAAGTCTTAGTTCTATCCTATTACAATAGCCAACATCAGTGGCAAAGTCATAGTGAGACTTAGTGAGTTCACATGATCACATCACAGTAGCAAGAAGTTCTATTTCTATCCTATTACAAAAGTTCATGTTCATCCATCCATCATCCTTGATCCTTGACTCACTCACTGTCTCAACTATGTCACAAACTCACAGTCCAAAAGTACCTGCAAAATGTCAATGTTAGATTGTTACTTTGTTAGACATAATGAACTTCAAATCTTGAATGTAAAGAAGTTTCAGTTTAGTGACTACCTCTCCTCTTCTCTTCTTCTATCCACCACCAACAGCAGTATCGCCGCTGCCGGTGCCGGTGCCGCTGCCGCTGCCTTCGCCTTGTTCATCGAGGAAGAGGTTGTTGAATGCCTCCTCCAGTTCTAGGTCCTTAGGTGTATGCTGTTCCCTTCTTGCACCTTGTTCCCAGTCCTTGATGTAGGTGAGCATCTCAACATGCTTAGTCAACAAGTGCCGCCGAAGATCTTCGAGTATCCTGGATGTACAGCTGAAATAGGACTCCGAAGAGACAGTAGACACAGGGACAGACATAATATCTCGAGCCATAATCGATAGGATTGGATAGGTTAGCTTGTGGTCACGCCACCAGAAGAGTATGTCAAAGGATTCCTCATAACATGTGGCAGGGTCACTGTCCAAGTAAGCTTTGAGCTCACTAACAGCAGATGGAGTAGATGAAGATGAGGGGGAAGAGACAGGGGATTCACTAGGACCTCCAAAGATCCTTCCCCATGCCTGTTTTGTCTTACTAGTATGAGTTGAAGGAACTAAAACCCTTTGACTCCTCACTGCACCAAATTTCTGTTCATACTTGGCAAACAGTTTATACAATTCATCTTTGACATCAGCATAGTACACACTATAAGTGCATCCAGTTGCCTTAGCAAGCAATTCAAGCACATTAAAGAACCCTTTCATCTTAACTCTAGGATCAAGAATGAATGCATATGAATAAATGAGTGAAATTTTCTCCCAATATTTAAGGAATTTAAGCTTCATAGGAGTAGCAATCATTCTAAAATTAGCATCTCTTTTCAAAGATTTTGCAAGTGTTCACCATGTCAAGCATATGATGCAAAACAAGTGGAGTCAGAGGATAATACACACCGAATGAACAACAAAGGAATTATAGAAGAGTTCCAAGAATATCATTATTTGTTCAAAGAACATACCAATGCTGTCAGGATCAAACAAAGTAGAACCATAATTTGATGTAATGAACACATGAAAGACTTCCTTATATGGCGAAGAAATGTTTGAGCATCAAATAAGTAGAATTCCATCTAACATCCATATCCAAGCCAAACTTTCTAGGTCTAAGACCACGAGTATGTGCAAAGAGTTCTTAAACAATGCAATTCTTTGATTAGAGGAATTTAAAAACTTATTGTAGTTCACGAAATCTTCAAGATAAGGTTTCAACCTCTTCATGCCGATTTAACAATCAAATTTATTATATGGCATGCATGGCGTTGATGCACAAGCAAAATACTGCACCTTGTTAGGATCATCTCTTGTAGGTGCAGGATAAGAACCTAAATAGCCAAAGAACATAGGTTGCAAAATCTCAAAAAGCCCTAGAATTAGCAGAAGCATTGTCTAGAGACACAGAAAAAACCTTGTCAATCAAACAAAACTCCTCAACCACACTAGCAATCCTATCAAACAATGTTTCACCGAATGAGAAACATCAATCACTTTAAACCAACAACTTTTTCTCATTCCCAATCACACTAACATAATGAGCAACAACAGAAATATAATCCTCTTTAGCATTACGGACCATATATCAAATGTTAAAGAAATAGAAGATGCAGCAGGCAACAAAGATTTCATAAGCATAGCATGTTGTTCATCAAACAGTTTAGACATATCTCTAGTGGTGGTCTGCCTAGAAACCTTTTGAAACATAGGATTGTGAGCACGCTTAATGTAATCCTCCCAAGCCTGGGTCTCACCAATCCCTAAAGGAAGGTCTAGCCTAGCAATCAAATGGCACAACTCAGTGCGAGCAAGCATAGGATCATACACCCAATTTTTCAAACCATCAGGATTCATAGCAAGTTTAGACTGGACCATACTAGCATGCTTACATTTTTTCATACAGGAAAACATGTGCCGTCTCAAATGCCCAGTGCCAGCAGCAGACCTAGCACTGTAATGCGCACCACAGTGTTTACAGATGGCCCTCACTCGAATTTTATTCTCCTTAATCTCATGGAAGTAATCCCAAACATCAGAAACTTTCTTACCAGAGGTGGAAGAGGTTCCATGAGTGTCAGTGGAGACCTCAACTCCACCATCACCGTCGTCGCCATCAAGACCGATGGGCTGGTTGCCGTCACCGTCACCGAGATCGATGTCGAACAGACCGGCTGCGTCATCACGCAAGTCGTCGTCATTCTCGATTTCCAGCTCCTCGTCCGGGTGCGGCGCTAGGTCCTCGCCGTCGATAAGGGGGGATGCTAATCCGCCCCACGTTGCGAGCCCAGCACCAGCACCAGCCTAAGCCCGACCCCGACATCCAGCTCCAGCACCACCCCTCGATGGGTGCTTCGGCGACCTGGCCATGTCCACTCCAGAGGAGGACGCGGCGTTAGGCATGAACCTACAACTCAAAAAGACAGAGACAGAGTGAGTAGAGAGAACAAGAACTGACGAGCAGATCCAAAGAAAGAGTAGGGTTAGGGTTAGGGAAGAACAAGGCGAACCTACGCTCCGGAGCCCGGTGCCGGAGATGAAGAAGCCAGAGCCAAAGGTGGGGAGGAGGAGACAACGATTAGAATCGACGGCGAGGTGGGCGAGGTAGGGTAGGGAAGAAGAACACGAACTCACATGGCTCACGGTTCACCGAGAGTGAGAGGAGAGGGAAAGGAGGGAGGAGACGGGGACAGCCGGACGGGGTTAGCGAGGTGGAGTGGAGGAGCGCCGGCGAGGTCACCGGAGCCGAGGATGGGGCCGATGGCGGTGGTGGCGATGGATCGAGATCTAGAGCAGAACGAGAGCGAGGTGGAGCGAGCGAGAGAGAGAGATGGCTGCACGGCGGTGAATGATGGGGTTAGCGAGGTGGAGTGGAGGAGCGCCGGCGAGGTCACCAGAGCCGAGGACGGGGCCGATGGCGGTGGCAGCGATGGATCGAGATCTAGAGCAGAGCGAGAGCGAGCGAGCGAGAATGAGTATTAGGGTTAGGGATTAGGGAGGCCGGGAGGGAATGAGGGATTGGGGGTAAAGCCCGGCAGGGCTCCTGGCCTCCTAGCTCCTGCGCTGCGCTTATATTGACCAAGGGTAGGGCAGGCCGGTAGGGCCGACCTTCGTGGGCTGCTCTCTGCTGGGCCAAATGGGGCACCGGGCCATCACCGTGCCGGCCTGCACCACCGTGCTGTGCCCGGGCCGTGCCACGGGCTAGGGTGGTGGCCCAGACGCGGCCTGGTCCATCGGGCCATGTCGGCATGGGCCCGCTGGCCACCGGGCCATGCCGTGCCCG